CCGGTGGGGCTGTAGCAACACAGGGGGAGGACCAGCGGGGCTTTTTACCCGCGATTTACATGATAAATCTCGTCGGAGGAGGATCGGAGCGGACATCAAAGTTGGGAGACCGAGAGAGGTGCAGCCGTGTGGTTGCGGCGGCGGCCGGCAAGAGGGATCGGAGGCAGAATGGCGCGCAGGTAGCGCGCAAGAAAGGTCGGTCGGCCCCTCAGATGCTCGCAATTAATAAGAGCTTAATGGGGGCCGATATAGCCACGCTGCCACGCTCTCTCGGCCCCGGTCTCTCGTTGCTTTCTTCGTTGTTTCTCCCACCGAAATCATCTCCCGCCGACGACAAAAACCCACCGCACAGCCGTAAAACATTTCGCTCCGGCTGTTTTCGGCTGTAGCGGCCAACGTGCCCGGGACCCGTCGCCGCAAAAACCGCTGCCGTCGCCGTTTTCATTCTCGACCGTCCGGTTATATAAGAGAGGGAAAGCCCCGTGGCCTCGCGCGAGACGTTAGAAAACATGTCTGGGGGGAGGACATGGATGAACTTTTCACGGTTTTGCCCCGGCTACCGCGAGGGAAAATCCTGGAGGTCCGATATGGCGGTCGATCCATAAGAAATTTGAAAGCAAACTTTCGCCTGTGCTAGACTTTACATTTGTTCAGAGAAATTTGAAGACGAAAGAAATTCCCTATCTAGTTTCATTTTACTTGTGCAAATGAAGAAGTAGCATTTCGTACGTTTCACTTCTGCTTGATGGAGAGAGTTTCTTCCATTGCGCTCGCGAGAGAGAATCTCGAGTGTCTACCATTCTTCGTCGAATGTCTTCCGGAAGACGTGGTTTTGGCGGTTGTGCAAGTATCGACTGGAAGGAGGGCGCGTGAATGAGATCCGTGAGTCTACTCACCAGAGAGGGGTGCGTAATAGCCGTGCGGGTAAGAGGGTGCGGAGGAAGCGTCGACGAACGACTGCGACGGCGTGGCCGACGGCCAGTCCTTGTAGGAGGCCGCGGAGTGCGCGTGGTGCGCCGCATGGTGGCCGAGTCCTCGCGCACCACCCAACAGCAAACCGCCGTAACTCGTCACGGTCGCCATATTATGATGGTGATACTCGTGCACAGCCCTGGAAAAAAGAAACACCATCGCGAAGATCAGCCTGTCCCTCGGAATCACAACGTGATAACGTAATAATAACACGAAACTGAACGTAGAACGCAGAAGGACCAAAGACGAAAATGAGAGGAGGGGGTTGGAGAAGAACGAAAAAGAAAGATGCAGGGGAGAGAAAGAATCCTCCGATATCCGTGCCTCTTCTCAAGAACGGTGACAGACTGGTAATTTATAAGGCGGCCGACGCGAGATCAGCGCTAAAGATCTCTCGAGCCCAGTGGTACCTGCTCCCGACGGTTTTCTGTATTTTTCACGTCTCGTTTTCTCCTTGCCTCTCTTTATCTATCTCGTCCCTCATCCTTCCTTTCTCTACACTCGTTTAATCTACATCCCGCTCCTCCCCGGTTCGCGTCGTTCGTTCCAGGTCTCTTTCCCTCGATTCCTCGTGATTTTTCTCCCACTTTTTTCGTCGCTTTTGCAACACAAAAAGAGAGAGAGAGAGGCAGAGAACCCACCTATCTTCACCTGTCCCCCATCGTTTCTCTTTCGTGCTCGCTGCGACATTCGTTGTCCAAAGCTTTATTCCGACAGGCTGTCGCGTAATGAGCGTGTCGCGCCTTCCGGGAGGCGGATTTTTGCAATGCGCGAGCCGCATTATCATCCGTTAATTGAACGAAAGTCGCCGTCGGGGGACTGGTTTCTCGCGCGAATTTAAAGTAGAGTACGTCACTCTCGAACGACCAAGCCTCACTCGTGCAATCAGCGATCGCGGTGACAACGACTCGTTCCGTTTCGTGTTATAAAATTATTTTCAATCGAGCTGATATTCTTGCTAGTAAGATCGATTTTAGTAATTTTGGCAATGTTAACACATTGTTGACCGATCACATTAACTGTTTTTAATTTTTGACACTCGAAGTAACACAGATAACATATTGTGAGATCTTTCTTCGTCGTGTTCAACCGTGTTCATTTTTAAAGAAAAATTACTTTTATTTATATAAAAATTCATCAATCATGACATTGATTCCCTTCTTTTAGACTCTCAGGATAACTAAAAGACCACTTTTTTTTTAGGAGAAAATAGTCACTGGTATAAAAACAAAAATCCAACTGGGGACGTGTAGAGCATGCTCTTGAAAAGAAATCGCAGCGATATATTTGCAAAATCTGTCGTGTTTACGTTACACGTAAGTGATTGCTATACAGTTTATCACACTAAAAAAGACTATAAATGTAATACATATATAAAATAAAATATGTATAAGAGATATGCAATGTTTTATTTGAATCATTTCTATATAAATAAAGTATATTGAAGTTTATTTTGATTGTTTCACTTTCATACTCGAATTATTACTCGAAATAATAGCCGGTGACATAGCCTCTGTGTATACTTGCCGGTCAACAATGTGTTAAACGATATATAATGCAGAGTCGAACTTCACGGAGATTGAATTAGATAGTAGAAAAATAAATAAGAAAAATGCACGATCATACATTGATATTTCATCAGACTGAAATGTGACGGTTTCGTTGCTCTCAATCGTGAAATCGAGCCAGTATCATTTGATTCAAGTACATGTCCCAATGTTTATAACTCGTTCCGTTGGAAAATATGAATTTCACGAATAAAAACAGTTGCTTTTACGAGCAACTGTTTGGAGGCCAGTGAATTGTTTGTCACGGAGAATTATGCGAGATTAATATGAACGTCAGTTTAAAAGGCTTAGAAACACGGGATTAGGACAGATTTCCCTCTAACGTAGAAATATATTTGAAGGACAACGCGAGGAATGCAAGGAACGCTCACCTGTGGTGATACTGTGGATAATGCGGATGCCATGGATCCGTTGGACACTCGTAGACTTCACCAGGATGCTGGCTCTTCCAGAAGGAAGGGGGGAAGTTCCTCATGAACATGGGAGAGATATTTTCTACAACAAAACAGAATGCTTTTAGTAATCCCTTATCTATCATAGGTACGAAGTGAAAATTATCGTACAATATTTTCGTCATCGAAATAGCGTAATTTTGTTCACGTGCAAAGTTGGCACATTGAGCCAACTAATAATCTTATTTACCTTAATTGAAACGTACTATTTGATTTAAAGAAAAAAATGTTCGTTTAACAGAAAGTTAGTTAATTAATTATATAATTTTCGAGTTAACACACCGATACATACTACTCCAGTTTAATTATCTAGAACTTCATTAGCAAACTCTGAATACTTATTACCGACGCTGTCGTCGTGTCTATTCAGTTGTCTGACTGTGAGCGTCCGATTCTACTGACCCGCAACCGGTGCGTTATTACATACAGAGACAAGCAAGTTGGCAAGCAACGACATTGCAACATCGCACAAATTGAAAATATTTTTAATTAAGAGAAAGGTCATGGAAAAGAAGTTTGCTGTGTCAATTCAAATAAACGTGTCTGACCAAAAAAAAAAAGATGGTTTGACAAATGGCTGGTTAGAAAAAAAAAGACTTTTGAGACTTCAAGACACCACACGACATTGATAATTCGATTTAAACTGTTTTCCGATTTAACACGGCAGTATTGATAGCAGAAAATATAATATTTGAATAATTCGAGTGACAACAAACGTGTGATTCTAAATATCACAGCGGACAGTACAACATCGAGATCCTCCAACGATAGATCACACGGTATCTATGATCGATCTACGATCGATTGTCCCGACCTGGACGAATCGGCGCAATAATTTTTCATTCGAAAGCTAGGCGTCCCGGCCGGGCAAGAATGTTTATTAAAATATTTGTATCGTTTCCCACGGGGCTAGCACGCGATTCTTTCGAGGGCTCACGATAAACGGGTAGTCGGATCCCACGGGATCGAACCGCGCGACAGAAAGGTACCGCTCGGTTGTTTTACAAGCGACCACTCCAAAGCCAGAAGCTTGTCGTGTATCCTCCCGCGAGTCTCCTCCTTGGGTCCTTGGTCCCGGGATTCCTTTCTCTCTCTCTCTCTCCTGAAGCTCTTTCGGCCAATCCAAACACATATTCGAAGGTTGAATCAACGGAGGTCGTGCCAGCCGACGATTTATATTTCTAATTCCTCCTCTTCTTCTTCTTTCTCCATCTCGTCTTCAATCGCCGGTCTGCTGTCCGATGGAAAATGTGGGTGTCGACTAATTTATAAGAAAAGAAAAAAAAAAAAAAAAGAAACAAAATTTCCCCCACAATCACTGTCACTTCGCGGTTATTAGCATTGGTAATTCGTAATTTTTCTGTTCTATTTTTGTTTTTGAAAAAATAATCATTTCATTCGATCTCTTCTCCTCTGATCCAGCTGTGCTTCTCTTCCCGTTGTTAAAAGATCTCTCAAAAGAAACTTGGTGCACGAGAAAGAGTTTGTAAAATAGTAGGTCGTTGCATTTATCTTCATTTGCTCGGGCAACGCGTTAATTATGAAGTTTACTCTTTATGGATCGACAGGGATACAGGATACTGTGTAAAAAGCGACTAGCGCTAAGGCTAGTTTGATAAAACAACGAAGCATGAATTATTCATTTATCCGTTACACAACCGATCGGTGTATCGATCGACACACAGCTCTCGGTGTCCAGCCACTTGTCTTTAATAGATGACAACGTACTTAACATATGTACGTACATGTGTGATAATTAACGAGTTGAGCCTAACAAATCGAGAGAAAAAGACACCTTCTAAGACTGGAAAAGTAATTTTAAAATTATGGAAGATAGAAATGGAATAGGAAATCTATATAAAATAAACTTGGAAATTTATGTACAATAAACTTGGACTTATTTTAAGGCTCGAGGCTGAGAAAAATACATTGTTCTGAGATATTTTTGCACTATACAGTAGGTGACAAAGAGAATGTAAAATATAAATTATTATAGTTTGACAAAAAATATAAAGATATAAATTATCATAGTTTACAATGGATTAAGTCATCCTTTTTTCTCACTTTTAAATTACGTTAAATTACTTATTAAATTTATAGTATATTAAATTATATAAAAATATATAAATTATATAAATATATAAATTATATATAAATTATATAAAAATAAAGTATATTAAATTACTTTAAATTACTTTAAATTATTTATTAAATTTATTAAACTTTGAATATCAGGCGAGAATATAATAACGAAGATAACGAAGAAAGTATTATAATTGCTAGAATATTTTGAGATACTCAAAGTTGAATGAAATGACGAAAAAAAAAAAAATCACACATCAAGATTCCGGTGGTCGTCGTAAAGGTGAGGCTTCGATCCTTTCTTTGAAAAAAATTTCGTTACGCACTATGACAATTGGTACTATTGGATCTGCGAGAAGGAAAGCATCTCCACTCATCCACCCTTTCGGCTACGTGACGAAAAATATTTCGAGGCTTCGAACTTTGATCCGTTGCACTCCGAATTATTTTTCAACTTAAAAATGCCGAGCGTGACTCGACGTACCATTTCCTGATGAATGTACACACTTGGCAAAGGAGTGCAAAGTTGAGCACGATCTATCTTTCACAAAATGATTCGAGCGTTCGAATATTAACACCAAGCCACAGTGTGACTGTTCGAAGGAGATTCGGACGCACTCGAAGCTCATACCGGCGATGGACAACCATTTCTGTGGTAGATTCGCGTAGAATCGAATCCTGGCCGTTTCCTTGGGTTCTCCATGGGTCGAGCATGTGCAGCGGGGCCGCGGCATCGGCACCGGTAGAAAGCCGGCCGTGGACGCTCGACACTCTGTTTCTTTAATTGCGTTAATAAATAAAGGACAGTCGGCCGAGAGTGGACAGCGAGCCAGAGGGATGCAGAGGAGGGGAGGGGCGGGCAGAGACTAGCGATGGCAGAAGAGAAAGGAAGAGGTGACGGCGGCGGGAGGAAGGAGCCAGCAAGAAGAGGGTTGGAGGAAGGACGAAGGACGCGCGGTGCTCGAAGGCCGGTTTCCGTTCCCGCTATCTCGCATCTCCCCCGTAAGCAAATCGCAATATTTAACGCGATAGTTAGTCAATCTTTCTTGATACCTGCGCGCAGGAGAATGACGCGTACCGCTTCTCTCTCTCTCTCTCTCTCCGAGAGACACACATACACACACACATGCGCGCGCGCGAGAAACTATATTTTACGCATTTCGCGCCGAGCCCCCACCCCTTCCCGTCCCGGCATTCCACGCGTGGGAAACAATGCAGCCTCCGCCGGGCTTCTTTATGCTGAAAGTGTCGCGGGTCAGTTGTTACCGAGACGACCCGATACCCAATCGGGTTACAGTATCGTTCCGGACCCTTCGAGCATTCGCTGGCCTCTGCCGGATTTTGCGAATCTCCTTGCGAGTGTTGTCTGTACGACAACACGTGGATAGTGGAGATGTGGCCGAATGAAATCGGCAATTTGACATCGATTTGACATCGTTTCACGTTACTCGCGATCGTTACATGAGCTCAAGAAAGATTGAGAACCACTCGGATCGACCCCGTGTCCGATATATTGCTTCATTAAATATTCAAATTACATCGATACCGGTGTATATACACGCATATTTTCGCGAGTATTATCTATTCGAGCTCGCTATTGGCCATCGATCTTCCCGTGAGGCTCGGTATCAACGCGTAACAATCTACGACCAATAAATTTCACCAAGCTTCTCTCTCCCGTTAAGGAGTACTCAGTTCGATAAATAACATAAATTAACATGCGGCGAGGGTGACTCGCGCGATTACGTCGAAACGAAAATTTCAGCGAGTTCAGCTGCTGCCTCTCCGCTCGGCCTCCCTCGTAACGTCGGAATCAAAGCTCGCGAAAAACGATTTCACGAGTCAACGAACGAGATCGTTAATTTTTCTCGAAGGGGCCAGGGGCAGGGTTCATTCATTTCGCCGACGAGCTCGCCAGTAATGATTCACTTTCAGCCTTTTCAGAGTTGAGCGCGACGTCGATGGTTGGTCCGCGGGGCCGCGCGATAGCCCGATACAAATGTAGCCGATAAATCTTCGGGGCGGCGCGGCGTTTCATTTGCGGAGGGCCGCGGAAAATAATCGGCTGACACGGTGGTGAAGAGGGAGAGGAGGAAGAGGGTGGGTTTCGCGCGTCGACGCGTGGCGCTGGCGCCGCGCCAGAAGGTGCCTCTATAAAGACGTCTCGCGCTACCGCGATTCGTCAAAACGTAAACCCACGGGCAGATTGATGTGGCGGTGCGACCGGATGCCTCGTTATTCCGATTGCACGCGCGCTCCGAGACCCAAAGGGTGTACCCACGTCGCTAACAAACACCGGCCGCAGGCTTCGCGAAACTAATGGCGCGTCCCCCGTCTATTTTCGATTTGTCCTGATTTGCCCCCGTCGTTGGCCTTCGCGTCGATTCCATTTTTTTTTTTTGGCTTTATGGTTCCCGTGTTGTTGTGTTGTTGTTGAAATTTATTGATTGAGAGAGATATTCTCTTGTTTTTTTTTTTCTTTTTTGTTTCTCTGGAATTGTTTCTCTGGAATGGAGAATGAAGTGGAGCGTAATGGGTTTGATGGAAGGTCCGTTTTATGAAGTTGCGAGAGCCGATGAAGTTACGATTCGTTCTCGCGTAGTGCGTTATTACGGCGGACGATTTATTTCGTTAATTTGACGGCTATATCGCCGTCGGAAGTTTAATGCTCGACGCGACGATAATCGGCAGACGATGGCACGAGTTTAGAAACGAGATGAAATGGCAGTCGCGTTTGAACAGAATCCACGTATCGAGCTACTGAAATCGAGTCGACTGAACCAGCGGTTTCCAATCTTTTTTCTCCCCGATCTACCCTTTGATTAGGCTTTTCATTTCCTTCCTTTCAGAAACGTTCACCCATTTCTCGAAAACTTTCACACAAGTCCCTCTTTGCAGTTCTATAATTATATTTGCTCTTCCGTTTTTTATTTTAACACTTTCTTTTCTTTTCTGCTGTTTTTGCTCCATTACCGATATTATTTTTACCCCACAGGTAAAACATACGTGTACCGAAATCCAAAATGAGACGATTCTCATTCAATTACGGCACCGTTAAATTATGCGCATCGTGTCATAGATTACACGGCAATTTTCGTTCGTCCGATCGGCGCGAGGCACGGTACAAGCCTGCCCGTTCACAGGCGGTGAAAAAGCGCGGAGCGGAGGATCGGTATCGCGGCTAATCTCGCCGGCAGGCTCTTTGAAGAGGCCACGCGGCGTCGTGTAAGGGCCATGTCAAGTAATTGCGTCTGTGTTTGCGCCGCGGTGGCTGGCGAACGGGGCGTTAATTTGACGCCACCGACTGGAACGACGCGCTCAATTTCCCGAACTCAACGGGTTACCGACGTCGTCGTCGTATTCTCATCAGAGCGATAAGCTCGCCCGAGAATCCCCCTCCCCTCGTCAACGGACGTTCCGAATTAACCCTTTGAACGGAAGTATGCGGCGCTGATAAACGCGTGTGATTTTTCAGTTTCATCGCGACAGCCACTTTCAGCTGAGAAACCTAGGATCTGTCTGTCTCACCATTTTTCTCATCTCCTCTTTTCTCTCCCTTTTCGCGCGCGGTGCACTGACTTCAATTTCAATGCTCGCTGGAGAATTCAACTTTTTGTTTAGAAACTTAATAAAGATCAGCCTAATAAAGACAAATTTTAAATGTATAACAAAGAATTCATACGTACAACGTGTCCGAATGTGACGCGATAATTCTACTTGCATGCTAGACACCATCGAATCAATAGGTTCACCCCTATTACGCGATAACAGTATTGGTAGATATTTTGAAAAGTTAACAGAAAAGTACCAGTCGTATCACTTGCTGAATAATCAACTTCCATGAACGTACCATCAATAAGCTTGCCCCGCGCATCAATAAGTGTTTTTCAAACACAGCCAAGTAATAAGCCCTTAAAAGATTAACTGAACTCGACCCCCTACGCATGAAACACGATGAAAGCGAAGAGTTGCCCGCAAGAAGAAGGCAGGATAATCACGGTCGCGTCGCGTATGCGCCCGTATCGGCGAGCAGCCGAGGGCAAAACGTTTTATCGGCTTAGTCGTATCGTTTCGAGCTCGTTCGAGCTCCTGTCCCCTTAAATGTGCGCGCCAGCCGCTCCTGGCACCGACTGGTAGCAAAACCCTTGCTAGATGCAATTCCCTCGGCTCGCAAGAAACCGCGGCTCTTCGGATAGTGTGATACGTCACCGATCCCCCCGGCCGGAATTGCGATTTCGTGCACGCGGCACGAAAACCACGTCCAATCTTTGGTGTTCAACCCTCGACAAACCTTTCGTTTTTTTCGTATCATCTACCAGCAATTTATTCACGAAGAATAAAGTTATAGAGATATTAGCATTGGAAATAATCGAATTATCAGAAGAAGTGAAATTTTGTTGATCGTATCTGTCTAACACGATCATTCAAATTTAAAACAATCATTAACGTGCATTGCGGATTTGCTAGAACAAGTAGCCAGTAAGTAATGTCGTGTTTTTTTTTTTTTTTTTTTTTTTTTTGATACTGTGCAAAATTTTATTCCATTTAAATTATTTTTTCTTTTTTCTTTATCATTGTCGCTAGACATGGAAATGTTTATTAAATTTATAGGTGCCCCTAATACAAGAGTTTCAATCTCCGGAAAAATAATATCCTCCGCCATTCTTTTAAACTTTCGCAAGAGAAGCAATAAGTAGTCTAGTTTACATGAATTATGCGAATTACTCAGGACTGTCTTGTTTCTCAAACTATTTTGTTCTTCTCACGTTCGTTATCGTAGCTTTCGCTCTAGGCGTCTGTTTCGGATATTATTATAGTATCATATCGCATCATACAACTAACTGCCAAATGTATACGTTCATTATAATTATCAGATTTAAGTACGATGTCCCGAGTGCAAGGGGTTGATTTGCTCGCGAGACGCATGCGCATAATATACATATGGATAATGATGCGCGAAGCGTGAGCAACGAAATCGTTTCTTCGAAAGGGAATCTCTCGAGCTATGATGCGAGCTACGACGCTATTTTGCCTATGAAGAAGCCTGATATAATCCAAAGGCGAAACTATTCAATTTAATAGGACGGCCGCGTAACGCCGCGGCGACGATGCCGGAAGCATTTCTCCGCAGCTCGCCGCAAACACGCGCCGCAACACGTCCAAACAATTCGCAACCCTTCTTATCGGCCGCCTTTCTCTCGCTGCGGAGGGGTGTCTTTGTTCTCCGCGCTGTCCCACCGTACGTAAGAGACGTACGTTCGCTCCTTGTACGTACGTTTAGCCGGCATACCGCGGCTAAAACTGTCTTCTCCGGCGCTGTCTCTTCGTTCCCCGTTCCCTTCGAGCCCCTTCCTCCACCTTTTCCGCTCCTTCTTCACCCCTGAGCTACGCTCTCTCGGCGCTCGGCTCTCCCTGAGTCAGCGTGCGTCTCGTCGTGCATGTCGAGAGAGAAGCTCTTAATTTACCTTTCGTACGGGCCGCGTCGTGAAACCGCGCCATGGTCTCGATGGAACGAAACGAAACGAAACGAAACGAAACGAAACGAAACGAAAGCGAGTCACGCGGGGGGATGAAACGAAAGAGAGAGAGAAAGAGAGAGAGAGAGAGATGGAAGAGGGAGAGGCGCACCGCACATAACAATTAGGTCGTGTTGTCTTGAATTCTAAGCAGGCTAGTGAACCGATCGTCAGCGCTGCCGCGAGATAAATGCGGCCTTAAACGATACCGATATAGACGGGCTGCTACGCCGATCGCTTGCCAAACCGACTTCCACCGCGGCAACCCCCTGCGCGGCCGCCTTTCTCGTTAGCCGGTGCTGTTTCTTTCGCCAGCTTTCGGCCCTTCGGCCAGCTCCTCTTCGTCCTTCTTCCTCGTCCCGTTCGCCTACCGCTCCATTTCGGGGCCATATGAATGTTCCCTTTCTTCATGCTTCTCGATATATCTACGCCGTATTCTTTATTTCCACCGCGCGCATTCTGACGGCTGTTTCTTCTGCGGCCAGCATCATTTTACTCGACCTGGGTTTTACGCCTTTACGTCCGATATAAGTGTGGAAAGGTTTCTCCTTTCTGGAGAACAAATTGTTGAAAAACCGAGAGAGAGAGAGAGAGAGAGAGAGAGAGAGAAAGTATGCACGAACGAGAGCTTGAATTTTCCTTTCTCTCCAACTCTTTAGTCGATGATTTTTCATCTCTCGAATCAGTCGTTTAAATCTGCCGTTTCGTTTTTCAATCCGGCAGCTGGTTTTTGCTTTTTCCTCTTTGCCGAACCATCGTCCGAGGAGGGAACTTCCACTCTTCTCCTTCTTCTTCGTCTCCTTGCACGGGCCGACAGCAAGGGCTTTAAGTCGCCGAGTGCGACGACGGTACAATTGTTACGAGGCTTGTTAGCGTTGTCGCGGCCTAATGGCGCACTTTATTATCGGTCTCCGCTGGGACCGCGTTTGCGTCCGCTTGCGATCCGTTTAAATCACCGCCCTTTGATGCATTAGTCCCGGTCCCCGGTGCTCGCGTCCTCCGATCTTCGGACTCACGCGTGTCTCGATGACGTCGAATCGTCGAAACCAGATCGTAATTGGAACTCGAACATGTTTATTCTTTTCAAGTAACTCTGACTATCCACGCCTCCTTTTTCACTTTCCTCTCTCTCTCTCTCTCTCTCCCTCTCTTTTTTTTTT